TACTTCTTCCTTATTTTTATTTAGCAAAATAGTTTTATAAAAGAGAGGTCTTGGAGGCCAGCAGGTAATGTGGTGGTTAAGGCGCTGGACTCCCACATGGCCAACCACGGTTTGCGGCCCAGACCTGGCGGCTTTCTCACTTTCTCTTTCTGTCTCTCTCCCTCTGCTGAGCACACATGCCCTATAGTAAAATTTAAAATAATAGTAATAATGATAAAAAAATTTAAAAAGGTGGTCTTAAAAGTATTTAATGAGTACCTCCTGTGGGACAGATACTGCTTTAGTCATTTTATGTGTTAATCACATTAGTCTTCATAACCTCCTATCTCACTAGTTCTTTTTCTATGGATGAAGAAACCGAGGCAGGGCTAGCAGGTGGCATGGTGGTTGCGGGTGCTGGACTCCCACATGACTGACCGTGGTTCGAGTCCTAGATTGGGCGGCTTGCTTTTTCACTTTCCCTCTCTCTTTCTCCCTCTTGCTCTTGCTCTCTCTGTTCCTCTCTGGTCAAAATTAAAATAAATAAATAAAATTAAATAAAATAATTCTTTAAAAAAAAAAAAAACAAGGCACAGAAAGCTTAAGTAATTGGCTTACCAAAGATCACACAAGTGATAAAATTAGAAATATGTTTGATGTATTAGTAGCTATTTTAGATTTTTTTTTTTTTTGAGAGGGCATGTGCACTTGCCAGAAAGACAGATCCTCCATTCTCCTCTCGGGATCTTGGGCATGCACACACACACATCCAGCGTGAGTTTAAGCCACCGGGTCCAGGACTCAAACCACAGTCGACTACATGTGAGTCCAGCGACACAGCCATGCCGCCAACTGCTGGTCCCGCTATTTTAGAATTTTTACATGAACTCTTGATAATCTGTCTGGTTGAGATTTTAGACTCCACTAATTGTGATGTGGGTCTCTTAATGACTCAGAAGTTTATTATTTGATCCTTCAAAAGCTACACTTTATTCCAGAAGGTTTTGAGTATAGTTACGTTAGACTTAATTTTAGAGATTTATACATCGCTGGGCATGTGCTATACCACCTCATGGCTTCACCAGCTCATTTCTGGCTACCTCAGTCCAGCCACCTGAATAATTCCTCATGGCTTGGTCATCGCACACACCTGGTCAGCTTTCTTGTCTCGCTTGCCAGTCCCAAGCCCTCTGATCAGCCTAGCTGGAGGGACCGTGGGCACTGTGCCTCGGCCACGGTCTGTCCCTCATGCACGTCTGCTCCCCTTCCTCTTCCTCTGGCCTCGTTTGCCTTCGCGAACAGCCGAGCAGCCCGGCTTCTGCTGCAGTCACTGAGCCAGTTAGCTTTGTTTTGATCTCTGTGGCAACTGGGACTTACCCCTGCCCCTAAATATGGGAGAAGAATGGAAACATCAGGCCGTCAGTGTGAATGTTTGTGTTGTGTGGGCCAAAGACAGTGATCACTTCTGTCAGCTTCCTTCTCCTCTCCCTGTTATCACTAACCTTTCATGACTAGGAAGCGAGAGGGATCAGCCCCTCTTTGGGGGTCTTGTGCAGCAGAGCGGTCACCAAGGAAGGATGCATGATGGGGACAGACGTTCACGGCTTCCAAGAGTCTGGTGCTTGTTACCAGGTTCGTGGTTGGGCTTCCTGCTCACATGACTGAGGAAGCTGGCGGTACTCACTGATGCTCGGAAGGGTCTTGAGGGAAGCACAGTAGTCTAGCATCCTGTTCGGTAAAGACACGTGTGATGACGGTTGTTTCTCTTCTAAAGATTCGGAAACCCCGGCCCCAGAGAGAACGTGCCCAGTGGGACATCGGTATTGCTCACGCCGAGAAAGCATTGAAGATGACTCGAGAAGAAAGAATAGAACAGTATACTTTCATCTATATCGATAAACAACCCGAAGAGGCGCTAGCCCAAGCGAAAAAGAGTGCCACCTCCAAAGCCGAAGTGAAAAAGCCCCGAAGACCAAGATCCGTGCTGAACACGCAGCCAGAACAGACCAATGCCGGGGAGGTGGCCTCCTCACAACCAAGTACTGAAATGCGGAGGCACAGCCAGAGGCGGCACACCAGCGTGGAAGAGGACGAGCCTCCGCCTGTGAAAATCGCCTGGAAAACCGCGGCCGCGCGGAAATCCTTACCAGCTTCCATTACGATGCACAGAGGGAGCCTGGACCTGCAGAAGTGCAACATGTCCCCAGTCGTGAAGATCGAGCAAGTGTTCGCACTGCAGAATGCAGCGGGGGACGGCAAGTTTATCGACCAGTTTGTCTATTCGACGAAGGTACCTCCTTTCCTCCCAGGTTTTTGAGGGGAGGGTATTTAAAAAGTAGTTATTTACTGCCACACCATTCAGAAAAGCAACCCAGGGTGTAATTTAACACCCTTTGTGTCTACAGCATTTGAAATGTCAGTTTTCATTCTGTGGGCAAAAAAAGAGCATTGCCAAAAGACTCCTCCCCACCCCCACTTTCGTCATTTTCCCATCTGTACTAGATTAGTCTTGAGCTGTGTAGCCAGAATCGAGTTTCGCTCCCTGAAGTAATGGAGGAGGTGGGCTCTGCCTGTTCCTGGTGTGTCCTTAGTTTTCTCTTAGTCGCAATGTCCTTCTTACTAAAACCATTTTCGTGTTATCTGAATTAACCAGTAGTACAAAACCATTGCAATCAGTGTATCTGCTGACGCATTTGGCTGCACCAGCAATTTTGTTCAGACTCCTGTTGGCTTGGGCTATCCATCTCGAGGAAGGCGTGACGTATTTTTCTGTTTCTCTATAGAAAGTGAGTCGTGACTTTTCCCGACAACCCAGTACGCTTTAGAGAAATCCCAGAACCGCGCTGCACACAGCTGGCTGGGTGGCAACCAGTTGTGGGTGGAGGCAGCCTTTACATACTGAGTCCTCCACCAGTTTGCCCCGGGCCTCCATACGGGGCACTTCGACTTCAGCTTCAAAACTCTGAAACTCTTACACAACAGCAGTAACGTTTATTCTCTGCGCCTCTCTCCACCCTCGCAGCCCAAAGCGGTGTGGGGTTTGCAATTTTGATTTAGTTGCATGTCCTGCACATGTACGCGTGATCGAAGGCCTCTGCCCGATCTCCCCAGCAGCCACACGCACGTTCAAACAGTTCATAGTCATACATATCCCGTGAGAGAGATGGGAAGGGTCCTCCGCAACCTCTTGGTATCAGATTCTGGAAGGCTGAGCTGCCTGGGAACACTGTCCCCACTGGCTTTTCTTGATCACCAATGAATATGTTGCTTCTTTTTTGAATTCAGATTTGCTTTAATCTCAGAGCCAAATTTATCTGCCTCTAAATGCACAGATCAAACTGTCAGTCCTGCTCTCCCCCCAATGCTGTTTAAAGGAAATTTGAGATAAAACTGATATTTTTTAGAGACTGGAAGGTGGCGTGGTGGTTAAGGGCACTGGACTCCTACATGGCTGACTGCAGTTCCAGTCCTGGTCCTGGTGGCTTGCTTTCTCACTTTCTCTCTCACTCTGTCCCTCTCTGATCCAATTAAAATAAATAAATAAATACAGTTAAATAAAATAACTTTTTCCCCAAAACTGGTATTCTTTAAGTGAAGGCTTTTAAAATATATACACTTTATAAATCCTTTACGTCTGTTAAATTAAAGTTATCTAAATTGAAACTAAATTGGTGGTACCTGCGTTCCCTCCGCTCCACATTACCTGTTGGGTCACATTTTGGTCACCATGAATGACATATTTTTGTGACTCCTACATGGCTGACTGCAGTTCCAGTCCTGGTCCTGGTGGCTTGCTTTCTCACTTTCTCTCTCACTCTGTCCCTCTCTGATCCAATTAAAATAAATAAATAAATACAGTTAAATAAAATAACTTTTTCCCCAAAACTGGTATTCTTTAAGTGAAGGCTTTTAAAATATATACACTTTATAAATCCTTTACGTCTGTTAAATTAAAGTTATCTAAATTGAAACTAAATTGGTGGTACCTGCGTTCCCTCCGCTCCACATTACCTGTTGGGTCACATTTTGGTCACCATGAATGACATATTTTTGTATCTAAGGATATTTTATCTCTTAAGACATGTTAGCATTTTTATTCGTATAATAGGGTATTTTGCCAAGAAAATGACTAGAGTTCTCTTACTGTGATAAATTTAAAGATCAGAATATTTCTAGTAGTCAGACCACAAAATACTTAATTTTTGAGTGAATATCGGGTGGTCCAGGATCATTGTTCAGTGATACTCAGCACCTGGATTTAGATAGAGGCTTTCTCTGTGCGTCTCACCGTACATTTAGAATACATCTCGATGGCTTATAAACTGTGACAGTAATTGGCTAAGATGAGTTGTGGTCAGAGACCATACAGAATTGAGGTTATGATCATGTAAAGTCTTCATAAGCCCATTTGGCATTTGCATGGTAATCATTTATTTTTTATTTTGCCTTATTTTCAAGGGAATTGGTAACAAAACAGAAATCAGTGTCAGGGGACAAGACAGGCTTATAATTTCTACAGCAAACCAGAGAAGTGAAAAGCCAATGCAGAGTATGTCATCTCCTGAGGCAACGTCTGGCCCTGCAGGTGGGTGTGAATGAAGAGTGTGCATCCATTTCAGAAGGTCCTAGTTCTGCTCTGCTGTACCACGAGAACATGTTCCTAACAAGTTTTTAATTACCAAAAGTAAATTGTGTGTATATGTGTGTGTGTGTGTATGTGTATAGATTATGTATGTGTGTTTGTGCGTATACATATAGATAAAGATAGATCCTTTTTTTTTTTTTTTTTTAAAGGTTTTTGCCGTAGGTCATGTGTGCTTACCAGAGAGAAACCAGGAACGAGCAACAGGGAAAGTGAGAGATCACTCCCCAGGGGGATGGTCATGCAGCCCCTTCTCCTCCTGGGATTCTGGGCACACATGCATACTCACCCTGCATGATTTTCAGGCTGCCAGTTCTGGGGCTTGAACTGTTGTCAGCCATATGGGAGTTCAGCACCATAACTGTTGTACCACCTGCTGACCCCCAGAGTAAATTACACTTTGAAAATTGAATTTTAAAAGCAGTTATTTCAAGAGGAAAGAATGAGTTAAGGGCTAGACATCTTTGTTCATAGTAACAGTTATTTTTCCCACAAGGATTTAAATATAGGAGATACCTATAATTTAAAGAATAACTATAATGTTTAAATATGTCTCAGTAAATGCACTGTTTGATTATCTCTCTTTGCATGAGAAAAAGACCTTCATGTTTCCAGCACTATTAGCACATTCTTACCATTTCTTCCTTTACCCCCTATTAGAAACACATTTAAATAGGATAACTGTAATTAGGAAGATATTTATTTAAACAGATGAATCCCCTAACTAGTGAGAAAATCGATTCTTTATATAACATTAGACTGACCTTAAATCAATAGTATTTTACTGAGGCCGGTAGGCACCATGGTGGTTGAGGCACTGGACTCTAACATGGTCGACTGCAATTTGAGTCCATAACTGACAGCTTGAAACTCATGCCAGGAGCAGGAACATGCATGCCCAAAATCCCAAGAGGAGGATGGAGGAAAAGGGATCGCAACATGGCTATCCCCCGTGTGGGGTGAGTTCTCACTTTGTCTTGCCATCTCTCTGGTGAGCGCATGTGCCCTATAGCAGAAATCTCTCCAAAAAAATTATTTTTTTAACTTTCCAGAGGGTGCATGCAGTCACCAGAGATTCAGAGACAGAGAAAGGGGGAGAGGGAGAAAGCACCCCCCACCTTCCGCCTTGAGGCATGGTCACACTGCAATTTCTTCTCCTTTGTCCATCCTGTCAGGATTCGGGCCATGCACACACAAGCCCCTGGCATGTTTTCAAGCTACTGGGGCCAATATTTGAACCTCACAGTCAGCCATGTGGGATCCGGACCCCTAACCACCAGCCCATGGGGCTGACCCTGTCCCTTCCTCCCTCCCTCCCTCCCTCCCTCCCTTCCTCCTTCCCTTCCCTTCCCTTTTCTTCCTTCCTTCCTTCCTTCCTTTCTTCCTTTTCTTTTTTCTTTCTGTATTTATTTATAATTATCTCATTTTATTTTATTCTTCATTATTATTTTCTAATTTGACCAGAGGGAGACAGAGAGAATGAGGGAAAGTGGGAAAGCAAGACTCCAGGTCTAGAACGTGAACCACAGTCAGCTATGTGGGAATCCAGCGCCTTAACCACCATGCACCCACCAGCCTCCTATATTTTATTTTTAATGGAGCTTCTTTTTTTCTTTCCTCAGCTACTGAATGTTTTATCTTGATGTAGTCTTTGCATTTTAAGATTTAAGTTCTGCTATGAAATTTTGTTTTGTTTTTTATGTCATTGAAAGATACAAATATTTTATACCTGGAAAAAGGCAATCCAGTTCCTTCCTTAGGGCAGTGTATATAACTTACATTGTAAATTAAGATTAGAGCCTTTAATAAGGAAGGGTGTTCTAAAGTGTTAACCTGGGTTTAAATTTGGTTACCAATTATAGTTGATGAGCACACTTGGTCTTTTTTTAATGACTATTTTGCTTTTTGTGAAAATAACATTAGCAGTTGGAAAGTCAGAAAATAGACTAGTTCTTCCTTTAGAACCACCTGTGGGTCAGCCTGTGTCGTAGTGGTTGGGGTATCTGGATCCCACTTGGCCAATTGCACAGTTCGGGTCCCAGACCCAAGCAGCTTGAGAGGTGGCCGTATGTGCATTCCTG